GGAGGTGTGGTGCCAGATTAAATCGACCATCAAATAATTTCACACTGAGCCACGTGTTATTAGTGACACTGGGTTGGGCTTCATGGGTGCCCACACGTCTTTATTATGCTGAGGAGGGCCTGAAACATTTGGATGCAAAAATCCAGGATTTTTGTATGTATGTATGTGTGTGTGAGAGAAATGCTTTTTTTTATCCACTAAGACTATATGCTAAATTTAGGTACTAATTTCATTGTGTATGAGTATGTGTATGTATAGGTTGTGTATCTTTTTAAACTTTACATTCAGCCTTTGTCAGTGTTTTCTTTTAATGCTGAATTCACTCAAATAAAATGCCTTGTTTTTAAAAGGTTTTTAAAAGGTACATTTTGTTGTTGTGTATGTGTGTTGTGTGGTCAGCTGAGGGCTAATGCAGATGTTTGGCTCGTACTGTAGATGTACTGACAGCTCTTTGATTTGACAGTGCTCAGCTGTTGTCCTCTGTGTATTGGGCTCTGCAGGCCTGTGAAACCTAAGAAATAAGGTCTGACCGAAGGACAAGAGGCCAAAAAGCTTAAAAAAAGAAAATGTTTGGACGAGCTTTAAGGGTGGCATTTCATTATAATTTGCTTTCATTCTTTGCTCAAGATGTACAGGTTAAATGCTTTAGCATAGCTTTGTGCTTGAGCTGTTTTGTTCGTTTACTTTTTTTACAGTGTATATTCACCTTCACTTTGTCAGCTACTTTTTAACTTATTACATGGTCAGCGGTGAAAAAAGAAGGTAAGAAGTATAATAGAATCTATATAACAGTGTTGTTATATCATAGTAATCATATTGCTTATTTGTTATCATACAGATACTGAGTACATGGTGATAAAATCTAATCTATATATAAAGTCCATATCTAAATAAAGCTTATTGGATATTACGAAGACTGTTAAAAAAGAAAATACTCTTTCGATCATTCTACTTAAAATTTGATTTCTCTTTCAATTTATTAATTTTAATTTCTTTGCAATTATTTGTAAAATGTACGAGTTTTGGTGCAAAATAGTTTCAAAGTAAAAAAATTGCCTATTTAATTTTATTGTTCAAAAAAGAAATCTACAATATACAATAATGACAACAGTGTTCTCATGTTTTGCGTATATTTTTAAATATTGAAAATGGTACCTTGCAAACTTTGGTTGATTTATAGCTATATGTTCAAGTATAATAATATTAACAGATAAGATAACAACATTTTAATAACTATAAAATAGTCAGAATTTTTTATATTATATTAGTGTTGAATACTATGTCAGCTACATTATTGGAATCATACAAAGTGCAGTTTATTTGCCTTTTTTTTTAATTGTTGTTTTGCTGTCTTTTTCGTTAAATGATAACATTATTAATTTACTTGTAAAGCAGATATTCCTGCTTCAGTTTTTGAATATTGCTTTTGTCTTTTTTTTCAGCGTGTGGTTAATAAATCAAACACTGCTAATTCTACACTTACATTCAGCTAATTCAGGTTTTTTTCACTGCTCAAACTTTTTTTTATTTGCATGCTTTTAATCAGTACTCCATTTATAAGAGCTTTCGGTGAAATGGACGTTCGATCAGATTCTTCAGAGGAGGGCAGATTCTTCATTGGCCAGCTTGGACACACCTTTGGTTTTCTTATTGTTCGGGAAATGTCTGTGATTCCCCTCCTCTTTTGTCTGTCTGCTTTCACAGTGTATTAGATTGGTACAATTGCATGTCTGACTTGAAAACGAACAAAAAGACATCTGTCATCAAGGAGCTTGATTTGAGCTATACTAATACACTAAAAAAAATGATGTCTGCAAAATTGTTGTAAACAATTAATTAAGTTTAATTTAAACAAACAAAGTTAAGTTTAGTAATGTTCAACTTAATTTGTTTGTTTAAATTTCGCTCAAATAAATGGTTTACAACACCTAGCTTAAAAAAAAAATTAAATATATCCAAGGAATCATCTTTGAATAATTTTTTTTACGTATACATGATGAAAGATTTCTTTAAAATTAGCAGTATTTTGCATGAGCATAAAATCAGAAAGAGTAGGTGTGATCCAGGAGTAGTCTGCTCGTGAAATCATTTTGACTAGCTCTTTTAATTAACTAAACGTATGTGTTTTAGAGTTGGGGATTTATTTTTTTCACACCTCTTGACTGTTCTTTTCGCCCCAACTTTCCCAAATTTGCCTTTGTTCTGTGTCTTCACATGCTCTGCCTCCATTTTGAGAGCCTTTTCATATCGAGACCTTTCAAATGGAGAGGCCGCAGCTCTTTTCTTCTGAAGCACGCTCAGAAAACGCATTAGCATGATTACTAAAAATAAATGAATAAACATGTTGTCAAGGCCATGAGTTATAACAGTGGTAAATCCTGTATAGCACAGTTTAAACCAATACAAGACAATTAATGCTAACTTTAAGGAGCATCTGACCATTTGTACCCGTACTGTCGATATTTTAATATTTCTCTTTTCCATATCTGAAATGTCTGGTCATTGTCTAGATTACATTTTAGTTTTTTTATAGTGTAAATGTACATTTCAGTACTGAGAAATTTTAATTATTGCTTACTACTAGGTTAAGATTATGGTCTAGGATTTAGGGCTATTTCGTGCTATTGGGAACAATTTATTGCTGTTACTAGTATAGGTAACAAGAAGATCCCAAAATATGCTAGAAGGGATACAGCTGTAGCCAGTAGTTAGCAAGAAAAATGTATATTATTTATTAAATGACTCATTAATTGCATTTTAGTCATTTCTACCCTTTGACCCAACCCTCGCATAAAAGAAACATATGAATTATTGTTATAAAAAAAATATAACAAAAATGATGCCATATTGAAATGAGTATCAGCAGCATTATCTCATCATTTGATTATCTAGATTACATTTCAGTTTTTTAGATGTTTTTTTATAGTGTAATTGTACATTTAAGTACTCAGTAATTTTAATTAATTCTTTCTACAGGGTTAAGATTATGGTCAAAGTTAAGGATTTAGGGCTATTTCGTACAATTATGAACAATGTATTGCTTTTACTGTAGTACAGGTAACAAGAAGACCCTAAAATATGCCAAAAGGTATACAGCTGTGGCCGGAAGTTGGCAAGAACTATTTATATTATTCATTAAATGACCTATTAGTTGCATTTTATTAACATCTACCCCTAAAACCAACCCTCACAATAATGTAAAAATATGAATTATTGTTAGAAAAAATTATATATACTGTAACAAAATATTGCTATATTGATATTAGTATCAGCAGCTGTATCTCTTCATGTGATTGTCTAGATTACATTTTAGTTAGTTTAGTTTAGTTTTTTTCTTTTAAAGTGTAAGTTTACATTTATGTACTGAGTAATTTATTTAACATGGTTACTACAGGATTAAGATTGTGGTCTAGTTTAGGGTTATTATATATAATTAAGTATAATTTACTGTTTTTACTGTAGTACAGGTAACAAGAAGACCCCAAAATATGCTAGTTGGAATACCGCTGCGACTGAAGTTAGCAAGAATTATTTAAATTATGTATTTAATTACCCATTAATTTTATTTTATTGCCGTCTACTCCAATCCTAAACCCAACACTCACAATGTAAAAATAGTAATTATAATAAGAATTATTTATATTATTCAATAAATTACCCATTAGCTGCATTTTATTAACGTCTACTCCTAAACCCAACTCTTACATTAATGTAAATCCAGTATTTATAACAAGAATTATTAATATTATTAATAAAATTACTCATTATTGAATTTTATTAACGTCTACTCCTAAACCCAATCCTCACAGTAATGTAAAAACAGTAATTATAATGCAAATTATTAATATTAATTATCAAATGACCCATTAATTGTATTTTATTAACATCTACCCATAAACCCAACCCTAACATTAATCTAAAAACAGTAATTATGAGAATTCATTCATTCATTCATTTATGTTCGGCTTAGTCCCTTTATTAATCTGGGGTCGCCACAGGGGAATGAACCGCCAACTTATCCAGCATATGTTTTATGCAGCTTCCCGCTGCAACCCTGTACTGGGAAACATCCATACACACTCATTCACACTCATACACTACGGACAATTTAGCCTACCCAATTCACCTGTACCACATGTCTTTGGACTGTGGGGGAAACCAGAGCACCCGGAGGAAACTCATACGAACGCGGGGAGAATATGCAAACGCCACACAGAAACGCCAACTGACCCAGCCAAGGCTCAAACCAGCGACCTTCTTGCTGTGAGGCGACAGCACTACCTACTGTGCCACCGCGTCCCCATTATGAGAATCATTTACATTACTTATTAAATTAACCATTAATTGCATTTTATTAACGTCCACCCCTAAACCCAACCCTCACATTAATGTAAAAATATGTGAATTACTGTTGTACAGCATCACAAAAATGATGCTACAGTATACCAATACGAGTATCAGCAGCTGTATCCCATCTAGACTTTACGGCAAAAGGGTGCTTGAATGTGCATTTGCAGTGGTGCTATTCTATTGTAATTTTCAAATTATTGTCATATGATTTTTTTTACTTCATTGTTTGCAAGCTGTCCCTGAACCGTTGGCTTGGCTTTTAGATTTCATAGCCCACATGAGAGCAGTCTGGAGTCATTTACAAGAATATGGCCCAAATATCTCGGTGTGTGTTTGAATGTCTCCGATGATCTCGCTATTGTGGGGACATTTTCAATTGCATCCAATCAAAACAGAAAAGGAGGCAGCAGAGGCTTTTACTTCGGACCCATCAGTTTTCTTGATTGTTTGTTAGCTGAACCGTAAAACTGCAAATATGTTTTGCGCCTCAGTGTTTGAGCTGCCATTCCTATTTACGTATGCAGTCGCCTTGCTTTCGCATCGCCTTTATATGATTGAAATTCATTTCCAGATTTAGAATGATTTGTTTTCGTCTTTTATAACGAAAGACTGAAAGTGGATGGATGACTTGTGAACTTGTTTTTCTCCAGGAAGAGACCTGCCTGCTGACACAAACCCGTAGATCCGAACTTGTGGTGACTGTCCACACAAGCTTGTATCTATAGGTATCTGTCTGTGTGGCCTTCACACCTACTGATCAGGGCCTCGTTTCAAACTGTCCTGTGCTATTCTGTATAGGTTTTTCAAAGCAAGAAAGAGTCTTGTCAGTATTAACATCTTTCTTCTGAGATTAATGGAGGGTTGACCGTGTTCCTCCTCAGGGTGTCTGCGGTGCCCCCAGGCTGAGGTAGTAGGTTGTATAGTTTAGAATAACATCACTGGAGATAACTGTACAACCTCCTAGCTTTCCCTGAGATACACACGCTCCCGCCTCAACTGATAGTCCTGCTTTCCTTACTTGTTATTTTTTCTTCATTTAACAGAAACTCCATAAAACACAAAATCATATTTTCATTCCCTATAAAAGGATTGCACTGAAATTGCACTATGTTGAGACAAATTGAGAAACAGGAGCGAACACTGATTTCCGCAAAGTGGAAAATGCAGTCATAAAAACAGAATTTAGTTTGGATTATTTTGCATACTGTATACTGAAGCATGTGTGATGAACACTGAGTTGTCAGCCGCTGGCATCTTACTGTAGGATTTGAGGACACAAACATTTAAAATTGGTGAGAGCTAAAATGAGTCTAACTTCAGCAGTGTTGTGCAGTTTTATATGAGAAGGATCACCTGTCAAGAAAATAGTTTCTAAAATTGCAATACATTGCTGTTAAATTGATTTAACTAATTAAATGGAATCTAATAATGAAATGGAATTTGTGTAAAATAAAACCAAATTTCATAGGATCCTAAAGAACTTTTTTATTCACCTTATTCTTCGCGGACGAATGGGCGCAGACATTTGAATCTTTTTAGCTCGAGACTTCCGGTCTCATTCACTTCCATTATGATGTTGCAAACTGACATTTTCTTATTATATAATTCTGCTTTGTCTATATAATCAAGCAAACACAATTAGTTTGATCGTTTTCTGTGGTTTATTATTCTTAGTTGTTTCTTCCATAAGCAGCTGAATTGGAAGTTCTAAAATAGTTGCAAAAATAAGTGCACTTCTGCACTAAAGAATAAGGTCAGTAATAAAAAGTGTTGTTGATCTTCTCCTTTATGTAATACAGAGTATCCACACTGTAAAAAATATCTGTTAGTTAACAGTTCCCGTATTTTATGATTCAATAAGAAATACAAGATTATTATAGATATTATATAAGTATAATCAATTATATAGAGAGAAATAACGTGCTGCAATTACAAAAAACGCCAGCAAATTAAGAAAATCATCCGTTTGATAGCACACGTGCTGCAAATCCTCACAACGCAAACACGTTTAATAAAAAGCGATGCATTTTCTCTCAATGGAAATGTTACAAGAGGACCCAAAAACTTGACGGATGTTGCTGTGCCAGTACTATTGCTCAGTGAAGTTGAAAGGTAAGTTTTTTGTTTGTTTATTTTAACATCCTGATTTTTTTCTCTTTTGCATTTTATTAGCCTAAATAACCAAAAACTGAATAGCCAGGTCTGTCACGTTTTAGGATCCCCTTGAAACATTTTCGTTGTGTTCCGAGCTATTTGAAAATGTTGTGAGAAAATGCAGCACGTTTTATTAATTTGTGCTTGTGAGAAAAAGCAGCACATTTTTCAAAACGTGGATGAAGATCTTTAAAGGTTGATTTGTTGGTGTTTTTAATTGCATGTTTTTTTTTTCAGTTGCAGCACATTAAGCTCTCTCGGCTACTGTAAATAAGCCTGTTAAATAATAGAAAATGTACTGGCAGTTTATTACATACACAACAACCAAATCCAGAAGATATATCACTTTAAACTCTTAAACATTTTCATAAAAGTCACTTTTGTCAAGATTAATAGTTGTTGCAAGGAAAATCAAGGTCCTATAATGCAATTCAAAAGCATAAATAAATGGCAAAAAAATAAAAGTATAAATCACAAAATACGCATAATTGCTTATTTATGGATATGTTTTACAGCGCAGTTTGTGTTGGTTTTTGAAAGACAAAGTTAATTTGTTAGCATATTTACTCCTCGCAGGATTCTTTCAGAAATCCTTGTAAAATGTGGATTTGTTGCTCAAAAATAATTCTAATTGTCATGTTTGGGCTAGTTATTCCCTGGAAAATTCTAAAGATCCGTGTTTATTTTAGATAAACATTATATTGTAAATCTTTTTACGGTCATTATGATCATTTTCAATTCATCCTTGCTGAAAAAATGTGTAACTTTAAAATAAAAAGTACTAATGCTTAATGTCTGTATATTAGTAAATGTATAGGTTAAAGAGCTATTTCTACCTATCTTTAAAAAATTACCCATAAACCCATAACGCTTATGGAACACACATGCATCAAGTATTAACGACAACACTTTATTGTTTATAGTGGATTAATAAATGCAGAGTTATGTCAGCTTAATATCATATCCTATGTTCTCCCATTGTTTAATCTTTTATTTCATACATTTTTCATTGCTGCGATACACACCATAATTATTTCACAAGGCTTTTGAAGAATGTTTTTGCTCGCAGTGAACACTGAAATTAGCAAAAACTTCAACCATGAAGTGTTAGTAGATCATATCCGCATCAAAAAACATTTCACTCTTTTTTTTAATCCTAATTAAACTTGTTAATGAATCTTAAGGGTTTTCAAACTGTCCATGGATTTATTTTAATTGCCTACTGTAAGTATCCAATTACTCACTTTGAAAAATGCCTTGTCTTTTTTCTTTTCTTCACACTTTCCAAATGTGATGAATCCAACACTGAGCATTAAGGACATTTTTATGTTGCATTTGAAATGGAAACAGATAGATTATGCATTCAGCCAAAAGTTTGAGTTTCTTTTAAAGAAATGTTTCACTTTAAATTACACTACTGGTCAAAAAATTGGGGTCAGTGTGATTTTTAAATCATTTAAAATAAGCTTATTCTGCTCACCAAGGCTGCTTTTATTTAATAAAAAATACAGTATAGATTGTAAAATTGAGAAAAGTTCTTGCACTATAAAAAATAACTGTTCAAAAGTAGGTTATGATTTAATTGAATAATTTATTCCAGTGATTTTAAAGATAAAATTTTAGCTTCATTACTTCAGAAATCACTCTAATATTAATTATTATTATTAATGGTAATAAAATCAATAATGACTGAAGTAATCATTACATTTGAATCCACATACAATAAGAAAGCAATTCAAATTTTGATAAATATTTAATAATTGAACTTTTTTTTTACATTTGATTTTCTTTAAAAAAAGAAGAGAAAAAACTAACTGCAAACTTTTGACCGATAGTATATATATTAAGTAAAATATATATCATATAGGATTACAATTAGAGCAGTATGTAACTGATGGACAAAAAATAATCCTTGTTACCAACTTTAAATCATAACATATATGTTTACTGATTCAACTCAAATCTTTTTTAATTGCTTTCACCAGATTTGGTCAGATTTCCTTTTAATTAATTTTTGTACTAAAGGCCAATGCTGTGCAGATACTTCTGCACTCTTACAGCTTTAAGACTTTTTTGAATAGTTTAATTTAAATGAACCATCACATGAAAATAATTAGTAAAATTAATGTAACATCCAAAAAGACTGTTCAAAGTCATGTTCGAAGAATCTTAATGTTTTATTCATTAGTTATCTGACCTTGACAAAATTACAGCCAAGCAATTTCAAAGTTTTTACTGTAGGATTCATGATTCATTCATTTTTTTAGCTTTTACTTCATCAGTTTAACTTGGAATTAATGATTTTCATGGCTACAAGCAATCAGAATATGCACAAATATTAAAGTGTGTATTTGCAGTCAAGTAGATATATCTTAAAAGATACTTCAGCATGCTGCAGAGGATTGAGCAAGACTAAAGTGCCGTGCGCCACCTCTGATCTCCAAACAATGTAGGCTGAAATAGATTTTGCAGTTTCTATTAATTCTCCTGCTACTACAGGACCTGTCATCATCTTACTCTTGTAGAAAAAGCAGATCGTACTTAAAGAAAAATCCAAACAAATGTCTTTAATTACCGAATTAGCTGCTATTCGCAAGATAAAGTAGCATAATGAGATTTGCAAAGCAACACGGTAGTATTAATCAGCAGACTTTAATGATTAATTAAGAGAAATGAGTTTCTAGAAGTTCTGTTATGTATAAAGTGGCATGCATTTGTATGTTATTTGTAGGATATGACATTGTTTAATGGTCATAGTGCAGGTTTACACTTATTAAAAATGATAAAAATGTTTCCAAGTGTGCACAGACATGTTGTCTGACTATACATTACATTATGTTTGCCTGACTGTAATGGGATCCTAAGAGCAACAGAACGCATGGATGTACTGTATGTATGCTCAGTGAGCAAGATTGAGTGAGATGTTATCTTCAGTGTAGATCTCACTGGCTTGAGATTTGATGTAAACCCTCCCTCGCTGCCTCTGCTGGAGTTCTGGAGCAAAAGGCTGCCCCCCAACGGTGCTGCGTTTCACTGCCACACACATACACACACTCGCTGTGAAACAGACAGCTGTACTGCTTAGCATCTGATTCTGAGACCCCTTCCAGGGTTTACTCATAATCTGGAAATGTAGTCTTTGATGTTGCTTTATTTCCCATCTTCCCCTTCCTTTCTTTTATTTCGTATCTCTGCGGCAATACAACTGCGATAACATGTCTGGTTTTGTGTGTGCTTTTAGTCGGGCAGCCAGCAGGGTCTGTGTGCTGCGTAATGTCAGCCTTGAAGCATGAATCCAAAGCAGATCAGAGAGCAGAGAGGGTCCTGAGCACACAGAGGTTTGTAGTTCTCTGCACCTCTCCTTGATAATCGCTGCCAAAGGACAGAGCTGTGACAAACAAACGGCTTTTTCATGCTCACTGCTCTGAGGCTTCTCTTCTATTGTGAAAGCTTTCAAAATACGTTCCGGCAATGCCGCTTTGCCTTTGTGCAGAGATTCTGAAATGCACACATTGTCTGGATCATCAGCTTGGTATCGTCTAGACTTCTGCGTTTGCTATTTCGAAGGCTACGCAAGGCACTTAAAGGGATATTTCACCCAAAACAAAATACTCTGTCATCATTTACTCACTCTTAACTTCTTCCAAACCTGTTTAACTTTCTTTTGTTGAACACACAAAATGATATTTTGAAGAAAGATGGAAACCTGTAAGCACCTAACAGTTCAATTTAATTCATGTTTATTTCTATAGCGCTTTTACAATGTACAATGTGTCAGCAGCTTAACATATAAGTTCTAGTAAATTGTAACTGTGTCAGTCCAGTTTTGAGAGTTCAGTTTAGTTCAGTTCAGTGTGGTTTGAATTAAATAAAGTCCAAGAGAGCAAATCCATTGATGCGCAGCTCCACTAGTACCAACCAAGCAAGCCAGTGGCACGGAACAAACTTCACCAATTGACAAAAGTGTAGGAAAAAAAGTCTTGACAGAAACCAGGCTCAGTTGGGCTCAACCATTTCTCCTTTGGCCAAACTGCAGTCTAGGCACGATTCTAAATAAAGAAAAACCATCCGCACAATATAATAAGATGTTAAAATTAGGTTACATTTAGGTTGTGATGTCAGGTGACCAAAATTCTGCATCTAGCCAGCGTCTAAGGGAGAACACTACTTTCACATTTAATAACGACCTTTAACGACATTGATATTTGGTTGATTTATGGTTGTTTTGGAAAGTGACCAAAATCCATTGTCGAGCCAACATCTTAAACCAACATCACATTGAAGTCAAATTCTGACATTTATTCTTCAGGTATGGCAACCAAAATGCACCGTTTAATAGAGATCAATGTTGCTGTAACGTCATTAGACGTTGATATTCTGTTGATTTTGGGTAGGATGTTGGACATTGATGTCGGCCTGATGTTTGGTTCTAACATGAACCCAATAGACCCTTTTTACATTTTCGGGTTTCTCAGTAGCTAAAGGTGTCACAGCATGGTAAACTTGGAGCACAGTGAATCGGAGAGTATAACAAATAATTTATTTACAACTCTGTTTTCTGAAATAATTTTTAAAAATGCCATAATGGTGTTATCAAGACTTTCAGAAAAAGGAAAAATATTGCGTGAGACTGATGAAAGCAGCCATAGGAGAGAATAACTTCACATTTACTCTCAGCCCCATGGACACTTTTACAAACACCTTGCATAAGCAGTAATTCTTTTTTTGTCATTTGACGCAAAGACGATATAAATTCAAGGATTTAAGAATATGATGACCGTTAAACATGTCATAACAGGCATGTGAGAAATGTTATTAAGGATTATGACAGCATACACCCTCAAAGCTAAAATACACAGGCGAAAAGCTTTTGTTTAAGTTTGGTTTAATTTTCACTGCCGAAAGTCCAAACACTGAAGAGCAAATCCATCGATGCGCAGCTCCACAAGTCCCAACCAAGCAAGCCAGTGGTGACAGTGGCGAGGAACAAACTTCACCAATTGACAAAAGTGAAGGGGAAAAAAATTTGAGACAATCCCAGGTGTTATTAGGGGGAGGTACATTTTCAGAAAGAGAATTTAATTGGACAAAAATGAGTAGTACATGATGAGTCATCAATATTGTTGCTCATTTTAGAAAGAGAAAGGTATTAAGGATTATTCCAGCATACTACCTCAAAGCTAAAATACACAGCTGCAAAATGCTTATTTAAATTTGACATTTCTTGAGCTACTACGTACTCACTGCAGTTTATACTATGTAATGAGTATTATCGCAGACATGTATTATAAGTATCACCAAATTAAGGGTTTATTTGGGTTCTAAAGAAGTGCCTCTTCCCTCTCTCAAAGTCCTCATTAGAACTTCAACCACAATGTTTGTTATGCAAGGTATGAAGCACTATAATTACACCGCTTTGCTAATGGCCTTATATTTTACTTCTCTGGAGACACGTCTGCTAAACATAGCTGAAGTCATAATCTTACAGTGAGCACTTAGCAGTCTCTACAGAAGGAATGGCTGGATTCAGTGTTTGAAATACTCTACAATTTTGCCGGGGTGGGCTCATAAACAGTTTGTGGGTTTCCACAAGTGAAAAAAAAAGCCATATCCTCTAGAATTTATTATTTTACCATTGTCTGGTTGCTCCAAAGGCCCACAGAGTGAAGTGCTGATCTGGTTTGGTATAAATGTATTCATTCATTAATTTTTCTTTGGCTTAGTCCCTTTATTCATCAAGGGTCACCACAGCAGAATGAACCGCCTGGTATAAATTTAACAGCTTGAATATTTTCATGAGTAAACAAAAATAAAATTTAAAAACACTCAGCTCAGTAATAGCTCAGATTTACCCTGAATAAATAGTGAACACACTGTACACCTTATATTGATCCACACATCCATCTATTTCTTGTGTGGTTGCAGAGAATGGCTCAGCCTGTTCTTCAATCTCTGACAGCTGTCAATCATTTCAGCTCATCTGTCAATTGGAGTTCACTTGAATGTGTGTGCGCTATGCTTTTTTTCATGCACTTTCTGTTTGCATTAGCCATCATTTTATTATTAGCTTTTCTAGGTCTTTAGCTTGCATGTGTTATTCTGTGCATGCATGTACGAGTGTGTTTGTGCGCGTGTCTGCTTGCTATAGGCTCTAGGCGGCAGCCGGCGCAGTCAAAGGCGGTCTAATATTAGCACCTCACTGATGGCTTGCTGTATCTGGACGAAAGAGGGTGATAAATGAGGATAGCAAGGGTGGGGGCCATGGAGCCGAGGGGGAAATTTAAAAGGGATAGCATCTCCATTTTACCACCGAAAAACCATGCTTGCATGTCCCCGTCTGCATCAGCGAGGATATAACACTTGATCTACATGTGATACCTAGAGATTAGTCAGACAGATCAAGAGCATGAGGCAAGTGAAGGAAAGAGAGGAAGAGGGCAGTGTGGTGCTGCTTTGCGTTTCCTTTGCTCCGGTCGCTGATTTGATCCCACTCACTGTTGTCCGTCGCTAGTCTCCTACCTGCTCGCCTCGTCCCTCCCCCATCAGCTCGGGCTGCTCTCCCCCCCTCGCTCTGCCCAAGCCTGGGGGAGCCAGTGGAGATTAAATGTAGCCTCTATAAGCCAAGCACATCATGTAGCTGTGTTTCTAAGGCCTCTCTCTCTCTCTCTCTTTCTCCCTCACTTTCATTTAAAGGATAGTGTTTATGATGCTAGGCATGTGGTAAAGAACTTGCACAATGTCAATGTCATTGGGATTACCAAATGTTGGGATATTTTATTGGCAATGGAGTAAAAATGACACACAAACAAACAGGAAAAAACAAAGCGTGTGAAATTCCCTGTCTTTTTCTAACACTATTTCTCTTTCTCAACCAACATCCCCCCTTTGAGTTGATACTGCAGAGAAGTGGGCCTCTGGCTTTAAATGATCACAGCTGTGCGAGCAAATTAATGGATGATATTTCTCTGTTTCCCCCCTTGTTCACCAACTTTTTTCAATGTGGATTTATAAAGACGGAAAGAGTAGACTAGGGATGTCACGCTTCCACGTTTTTTTCCCCCTCCTCTTTTCAATTGCATGCATCTCAGTCTGCTCAACTCCGAGAGAGAGGAAGAGTGTGCATGTGTGTGTCCTGGGAGAGAGAGAGAGAGAGCGAGAGAGAGAGAGATGGCGAGGGAGGGAGAAAATGAAATGTAAGACAGATACGGAGAGTGAAAGAGAAGAAGGGGGTGTGGAGAGAGCGAGCTAGCGAGAGTGGAGAGCCAGTAACACTGTGCATTGATGCATTTGCTGCGTCTCAGTCGCGCTCTTACTGTGGGACGTAGCCGAGGGTTTTTGGCAACGGCAGGCTGCCTGTTTTCCATCATCCAGTCGAGTTGGACCTGGAATAGGGATATATGCGTAAACGGAGTTGCCACGGCTGAGCAGCGCTGGATGAGTGAGGTGAAGTGAATGAGTGAGAGTCTCTGTGCTGTGTATGTGTATGTGTGTGCGTGTGTGTGTTCACCCCCTCCTCTCCTGAGATCCAGCAGACTGGCATGATTTGCTGGTGGTGTGGCCCTGGCTGCCGCTGCTCGGACTGTCTCTCATCCTCAGTGCCATTACACCACCCTTCGGCTTTTCTTCATCGGCGCGCTCTCCACCTCTGCGGCTTTTTCCGGCACACTGTAATACGGACGCATGGACTTGTGCTTAAATATTACCATTCATCCATATCCTCTCCCGTCTACCTCTCATCTTCTTCATTCTTGCTATTTTGTTTCAAGCTAACATCATTCGTCTCAAACTGACTGAATGAATTTCCCTTTTCGAGCCTCTCAAATCTGTATACTTGTGTCAGCAGCTCTAGTAACAAAAGTTGAAATCTGAGATTTCTCTTTCTTTCTTTCTCTCACTCACTTTCTTTGTCGAGCAGGCTGCGAGAGAACTGTGAATGGCTACATGCTCATCCTCATCCTCGCGCCAGGGTGAGTTTAAAACCATTTTCTCCTTCTCCCCACCCACAGCTGTAGCATCTGTTACTCTCTTCATTACCTTTGTCTGAAGCCGCTTGTGTTCGTTTCGCCAGTTAGCAGTAAGCTAAAGTCTCTTGTGCTATCTTGTACTAGTGTATAACACCTCATGGTTTAGATGGTGTTGGTTTAAGAGTAGACGTGATGTACATCAGGGACACCAGTCGTAAGTGGCAGTGGCTAGACTAAGAGCTTTTTTATTATTATCATTGAATGCTTGTGAGCGAGACGAGAGCTGGTGAAGAGTTTACCTGAAGCCAGGGGGTATTTTTTTTAAGTGCCGCATTGTTCAGCGAGAATTTGGGGAAAGAGAGTGAGAGTGCTTGGAGGGGGAGGGAGAGATGGGTCAGTGTTGTGTCTAGCTGAAGGTTGCACTTGTTGTGTCATAGACAGACAGACAAACAAGTGTTGGTGAATCAGGGAATGCACAAGTGCGATGGGCCTTTTATTAGCATGCGTTCATTTTTGTTGTTGCGAGATGCATCAAATGGTGACCTCGTGCTCAAATTCTGTTGCAGGTTGGCGGTTGGTCTGCAAATGTGCCTCTCACAATCCCTGAGACCCTAACTTGTGACGTTTTCCTGTTATGTGCACGGGTTAGGTTCTTGGGAGCTGAGAGGGGTGCTCTGTCATCAGCCCGCCGGCGTCGGAAACAAAGACATTTTAGTCAACGGCAAAGCACAACTGACAGAGGAGAGAGGAAGCAGCTAGCCATGTGTATAAAGGGACAGTGTGCTGGCGGGGGGGGGGATTGAAGAAATTGCGGCATAAGGGTCATGTGATGCGCTAGTGGGTAGCATCAGCTGAGGGTTCATTGTTGGAGGAATAAGGTTAGGAAGAGAAGATTTGATTCTTTTGCACTTTTTCAGTTTGATGTCAAACACTGCCAGAATAGGGCCTTGAGTACATGTTAACGGGATGAAATAAAAACTGTTGTGATTTATTTACCTTCATGTTTTTCCAAACTTGTATGACTTTTTTTTATGGGGAACATAAAAGAAGATATTTCATGCATATTTCAAGCATTCAAGATATTTTCTTGGCATCCACACAGTAGAAATCAGACAATCAAGTTGACCAGTGTTATTCAGAATATCTTTCATGTTCCACAGAAAAAGGGAAAGTCATGTGCGTTTGCAGGTACATGAGTTAATCCTGACATAACTGTTCCATTAAAGACCATATTGATCTTATTTCCCGTTCCACTATTGTTTTTATTTGAGAGCAGCACAAAGTACTATGGAGAGCGTCATGATAAAGGCTCGGTACACTTGTGTTTGACCTCAGAGAGCCCTCAACTGCTCACTTTGTTGATGTGAATGTCATCATGTTAATGTGTGCTGAGTCATATGTGTATGTGAAGTCCATCATGTTATGTGGCATGGCTTTAGCATTTAGCTTGTCTGCTGTGGTAAGCAGTTGCTAACTAGGCCTTACTTTTTGTGGTTGTTGGACGAAGCTGCTGTTTTGGCACTAGACTTTCAGAGACCCCTACAAGCAGTGAGAAGCAGGTGCAAACATCGAGGTGTGGGGTTGTCAGGAGTTCACTAACGCTCTTTTTGTAGTTCATTAGGTTTCTTTAGTGTGTCATTGAACCATTCTTGTAGCACTTCTGGCTGCTGTTTAAAATGCCATTGCGGCAACATTTTAACAAAAGAATGGTGCAAAAACAAGCCAGAGCTAAGAAAAGAGTAATTATTGGAAACTCTACATAACTAAAATGACAGTGAGAGGCTTAATGAGATAAAGGCTTGGGCACAGTTCATGGATGGTGCGCTGCTGCGATTATGGCATCGACCGCTGCATTGTAGGTATAATGCATGGTGCCATCACGCCCACATCCCTGTCTGTCTGTCTCTCTCTACCCACCATTACACCCACAGGCTGTCTCTCTACCTCTTGCCATCTACCGGTACCTACTGTCGCATTGAAAAAATAACTCTCTTCATCACAAACCATGTCACTGGTATTGCAGACTTTGGAGTTTGAGGTGTGATATGCGGTGGTCTTTGCTAGGGAATGCCAGCGCCATAGTACTTTGTATTGGTACATGTCCAGGTAGCCATGCTCTTACTGTCTAAGAGGATTTATTTGTTACACTCCGCTTAGATTGCTTGATTGCAATGGTCAAGCTTTTGCACACATTTCTGCAGTTTTTAAACGGTTCTAGCTGGTCCCCGGCATAGTATGACATGATATTGGCTTTAGCCCTGTCTCTGCAGTGCTGTGCTCTGGCGTCTAGGCTGCAGCTCTATTGTTCACTCCTGTCTCTCTGCGCTCACGTTGCACTCCACTGGCACTGGGACAGCCTCTCCGAGCCTGGCCCACATTTAAGGTGGACTGCTGAGCACAGAAGAAGCCATACAATCATGTTTAAGGTGGACTGCGACAGGTTTACTTGCTTAGAACAAAGGCTGCCGCAGTGAGGAAGGTTGTGCAGGTGCAGTGTTATAAAGCGCCAGGGTGGGTGACGCCCATGGCTAAGCAGCACCGAGCCGTCTGACACACTTCCAGACAGATCCATCCAGTCGGGTCCATTTGATCTGCTGATACTTCATATCCACAGTCTCACCTACCCTGGTGAGAGATTTGCCCCAGTCTGCCATAAGAGTTTCTGCCAGCATCGTTTTGAAACTCTGAAGCAACTCAAGGTGCCAAGGCTGCCCATTTGATGGAAAACTGACAAAACTGGAGCTGATAGTTTGGGTTGTGTAGTTGGTACAGTGACAAGTGGCTTCTAAAGCCAGCCAAAACCGATCTCTCTGATTGGGATTTCATTACAATGAAAATGAGTCCAGACTGATGATGGCGAATACACGCTAGTCTGATTGTTTAACAGTGTCCATTTATTTTCTAAATAAATCATTGCAAGATGTTGTGGAAACTTGTTGTCTGTCAGAAGCAACAATATTTTCCATGCGTGTGTGTGAGAGCAAGAGAGAGAGAAATGGTAGTAGTCTGAATAATGAACCAATATTTGAGATGATCTTTATCATAGGCCTACCGATAAACAGAGGTACAGTTGAAGTCAGATTTATTAGCTCCCTTTGAATTTTTTTTCTTTTTTAAATATTTTCAAAATGCTGTTTAACAGAGCAAGGAAATTTGCACAGTATGTCTGAAAATATTTATTCTTCTCGAGTAAGTCTTATTTGTTTTATTCCGGCTAGAATAAAAGAAGTTTTTAATTTTTTAAAACCCATTTTAAGATCAAAATTATTAGCCCCTTTACGTTATAGTTTTTCGATAGTCTACTGAACAAACCACCGTTATACAATAACTTGCCTAATTACCCTAACCTGCCTAGTTAACCTAATTAACCAAGTTAAGCCTTTAAATGTCACTTTAAGCTGTATTAAAAATATTTAGTAAAATATAGATATATAGATTTATAGATTTACATGCAAATATAAATTTACTGTCATCATGGCAGAGATAAAATAAATCAGTTGCTATGGATAAGTTATTAAAACTATTATGTTTAGAAATGTGTTGAAAAAGTTTCTGTTAAACAGAAATTGGGTAAAAAAACAAAAAAACAGGTGGGCTAATAATTCTGACTTCAACTGTAGTACTTTTCCAATTAGTGAATTCACAAATTATTTTATCTAAGGCAACTTGTAAAGGAGAAACTTAAAGAGTTATGTCCTTTGTAAATGTAAAAAATCCACACACAGCCTGGTCAATTCCTTTTCAGAAAAAAAACCCAAGAACGTCACATTTGAAGCATGTGGAACTAATTTGAAGTACATTAAACGTATGTGAACAATTGTGGAGATGTGGAAATCACATGGTTTCCAAAAACACACTTGTAACGTGTTTAAAATGTGTCAGATATGTTCCACATATTTCATGTGTGATTTTCATGTTTTTATTCTGTAAGGGTTGATATTAAACATTCTTCTATTTTCGATTCTTGACTGAATATTTGCTTAAAACTTGTAAAAGGCTTATTGCTGTCTTATTAAAGTGCAATAATTTTATCTTCAGCATTGACCATCGCAAAGTCCATGTGGCTTGACCACTAGAAGCGAGTGTACCTGTATGATGGAGAGTGTCGGTCCACACTAGCAGCTGTTTCCTTCCTTCCATAATGAGCGCTGAGAGAGTTTGCTGTCTGCACGGCCATCTGCGCAGGCGGGCTGGCACTTCAGACCTCCGTACAGGTTAGAGCAGCTTAAGGATTACCAGCACAGGCCTAGGAAGATTAATCAGCTCACAGGCCTAACCTAATTAAGCCAGCGGGGAAATGTCACCAGTGTATATCAACAAGGCTTTCTCTTTCACTCGGCCCTGCCCAGCTCAGGAATGCATGGATAGGTCAGGCCTCTCATCCTCTGGCCCGGAGTATCCGTGGAGCTCACCGAGCAGAACAGTATTCCTTTCACTGCACTCAGGTCAGTTGGTTCATTTTGAGACAGCCTGGAAATCCCCTTAGTTACTGTGGGAATGTGCGGCTGGGCCGGACCTGTTCTGGCTCATCTCACTGGGCTGCATTGAAGTCAGCTGCCGCAGTGGATAATGGTGTGAGGTTACCTGTGTTACTTTTGGATTTGGTAGGTAGTTGGTTAATTTTGAATGACTGCTTAAACTCAGGGATGTACAAAACGAGTGGGAAAAGCTATTTAGCAACCTGACTCATGAATATTAATTAGTTGATGTAATACCTTGTCCATTTTAGGAGTGTGACTTTTCGGTTTCGCTCTCCGATTGGTCTTAAAGCTGGTGTTTTATATGTATGACTGCATTTCTTTTTTCTTTATGATGTGACCAAACAAAATGTATAACATTAGGTTCTTAAAATGTAATCATTGCTTGAAAAGTGGATGTGACAGACATAGAAATATCTAAAAATGGAGGGAAATGTACTAGAATAAAAGATGCAGGTGATCTGATCTGAACCTTTTAAAGTATTGTTTTATTTAATGATAGTCAACATTATTACATTATATTATATATAATATTATTTGACAGATTTTTCTGACAAATTTCAATGTATACAAAGTTTTGTTTATTACATTTTTTGATGTTTGCAGAAGAAGCTTTTTATGCTAACCAAAGCTATATTTGATTAAAAAAAAAACAAGAATATTGTAAAATTTCACAGATAAGTACAATATAAAATCTAGTTTATTTATTTATTTATTTATTTGTAACTATGTTTATTTTGAACATTCAATTGAGTACAGTCATACAACATTTCCAGGTACATTGGTATCTCAGTATGTGAACTTAGGTGGTATAAAAATTACGTACATTATTGTCAGGTGTATTTACTACCCAGTAGTACTCACATTTTGTAAATCATAAAATAAAAAACAGCATAAAGAGCGAAGAAAAATAAGAAATATTAAGCCTTGGCTGGGTCAGATGGCATTTCTGTGTGTAGTTTGCATGATCTCTCCTAAGTATAGGTGAATTGAATAAGCTGAATTGGCCGTAGTGTATGTGTTTGAGTGTATGGGTGTTTCCCAGTGTTGGATTGCAGCTGAAAGGGCATCCGCTGCGTAAAACATATATTGGACCCCTGATTAATAAAGAGACTAAGACGAAAAGAAAATGAATGAATAAATGAATGATTTTCACAGACTCATTGAACGTATAAAGTTTTATGTTCATTACCATTTTTAATGTTTGCGGAAGAAGCCTCTT